CACACACACACACACACACACACACACACACACACACACACCAACTGTGTCACCGTACCTCATAGAAGATGTCTGGGTTTCCGGGGCTGAAGATGTGGGCCAACCTCTCCTCTATCCCTCTGATCATCTCCGGCCACACAGAGTTCACCAGGAAATCATAGCCTGGCACTACGTCAGCTTTGTCACTGAGGAGAGAGTGACACATTCAACATATGTTATGACAGCATCTACTTTGGTCACTACTTCAGCCACCGATTCATTTTATGTACACAAACTAGGAGTAATAGTTCAAATATTCAAATATGTCGAGCAAATGATGCATGGTAATTTTGGTAATATATGAATACTAAATAAATACATTTCAAAAGAGTGGTCAATATACTGAATGCATCAGCTCTACAGATGAAAGGCGGGTCATTTGCATCATAGATAGAGGATTTCAAACCAATCAACACAACAAAGAGTTGCTTGATCTCAGCATGCGTTGAATGAATTTGCCTCTATGATAATATTAATACCTGGATATGGCTCCTCCAGTGACCTCTCTAAGCAGTCTACAGTGATGAGGAACGAACTCCAACAGTCTAGAGTACATCAACTGGAGCCCATTCGGACTAGACTTCACCACCTCTTCTACTATCACCTGAAAAAGGAAATGAGACGAGAGCATACTCCGTCAAAAGTTATCAAATAATGTCTGAAATTCCCTTGGACCTACAGTATATCAAAATATGAGTGGCAGGTTTACCTGGTCCATGTACGGCTTGACCAGCACCTGTCCCACCAGGGCCTCAGCATCTCGAGTCTTGTCTATGGTGGCATATGTCCTCAGGCAGTGACGCACCATGACCACGTTGGACGTTTGCAGACCCTCGATCAGCACGCCCTCCAGAGACTGCTGCAGCATGGAGGTGATGCCTGCGATGCGCTGGCAGAGGTCACAACCAAGCGATTGTATTGGTCAATTAATCTTATGACTGAAGGATTGACAGAAAAAGCAGCAAGACAGACAAACTGACTGAATAACCCGGTGGCTATTCATTTATCATCTGTCTTGATTGATAAACCCATTTGACACTTACAGGTCTGACTTTGTCCAGTAGGGGCATGCCTTTGCTCTGTACAGCGTGGAACTGAAGCTGGTTGAATTCTGTAGCAATCCTCTCCAGGATATGACCTGCTAACAAGGGACTGTACACAGACAGACATGAAGTCAGACACGAAGGCTTAGGGCTACACCCCTGCATTGATCAAGCTCAAACAATATATATAAATATAGCTTTTCAAACTGCAGCTTAAAAAGAAATCAAATTTAAAAACAGGATATTTTCTAGCTTATCTAATAGGACATCCTATTTGTGACATTTGGCGAGGGCCAACTGCCATTACTCGCCCACATTCAACTAAGTCATCCAACTGATGCCAGTAGGTCTGTTAGCATGTCGGTTTCCCACCTGCTGGTTTCTAGAGAGCTGGATTCCTTGGAGTTCTGTGAGTGGAGGATCTTCTCAATCTTCTCCACTGAGCGCACCACCTGAATCAGCCTCAATACATACACCTGATGGATGGGATAATAAAAGGAAGATGAACATTAATAGAGTTTGTCCCATAGAGTAGCTAACCGTCTACTATCGCAGGTTATCTTCTACATGAAAAGTTGGAAAACTAGTACATGTGTAAAATAATTGAAAAACAGGTTAATCCTCTGTACGGCACCAAATATAGCTTGTTGAAACAACGTTGAGTTCAAAATACGTATTTTTATAGGCGATTCTAAAATATATTTAATGATGAATACAAAGCAGGATCAGATGCTTCACTCAGACAGGAAGAAGAGGAACCACACCTTTTTTTTCTGCAGATCTTCCTGTTTGGCTAGCTGGTTGTCTATAGCCTGAACCACCTCACTCACACAGGAACGCAGACTCTGCAATAGATAACAGCCAGAAACATGCATGAACGCTCCGTGGCAGGAATTAGTCGAAGCTTACAGTATACTTTATCAGAACACATACCATAACCTCCTCTCGTAACTGTCCCAGTGGCACAGAAAGCTGATTGAGGGCTTTGTCCATCCCCACCTGAGACGAAGGAGCAGAGGTCTGAGATTAGAAATAAACCTGACGCAGATTAACTTTAATAATCAAAACTGCTTGGTGCGCTCTCTTTCACTTTTCAAGAGCATATTAAGAGCCAATATAAATAAAGACAGGATATCATAAAACGGTTGGACCATGAAACATGGACTTGACGTCACTCTGTAAAATATATCATCACAGTTTCATGAAACTTTACTGACCAGGTTGGTGGAGAGGTTAACAAAGTCGGCATAGTCCTTGTTGATGAGCTCCACCATGGCCGTTTTAAGCAGCTTGTAGTAGAGCTCCAGGTCCTCCCTCATCTCCTCCAGCTGCACCTGCTTCCGACACTCCGACACAAACTGGTCCACGTCAAAGTCATCCTGCAGACAGAGACACAGCCAACAATAAGACACCACAGACCGGAAGGATAACGTCGCAGACAGATACATGTATATATAACAGCAGCCATGCATACAACTACACACAGTATTACGAGCAGAAAATGGAAAGAGAAAACTAATACATTTAGCTACAGACTATAAAACACATGATACAAAATGCACATTTTACTTTTTACTAACGTCGTTTGTCGTGTGATTGAAGTTTAGACTCAGCATTAAGTATCCATATTCAATAAACAAACGAGAAAGGTTTAAGAAACGAGCAGACAGCATAAACTCAACAGTTAAAAGCTAATGCTAGCTAACGTTAGTTTAACAGCACAAGCTATCGATAACAAACGTAAAGGACTCATACCTTCATAAAAACATCCTTGTCGAAGCACAAAGAATCGGGTCCCTTTGGTAGATTCATGTTGAATTATATATAACAGATGCAACGAACATGCAAAGGGAATATCAGGATCCTCCAGCTAGATGCAGCAACTAGGCTTCCGCAAACATGGCAAACGCACCAACGAGGAAGAAGAGACAGGAAGAGCACTGGACAGTTTATAATGATACTACAGCGCCCTCCAGCGGCAGACAGAGGTGGTGGTCAGGCGCGGTGAGGGCGTCTCAACCATCAAAAAAAACGCCTGTTAAATTGTAAAATAGATAAATCCAGTTAATAGTTCCGTTATACTGTATATCATCTGCTTCAAAATGCATGTCAATCTTTGTCCACCAAATAAAGGTATCCTGGCCTAGAGACCTGAAAAATGAAATAATAATAAATAACAAACAATATGGAAGTTGGAGATTGAAAGTTCATTATCGACATTGGAAAGACAAAATAATCTGGTCAATAGGTCCATTTGTTGTCATGGATGTTCAAACTTTTATTTTTTTTTATCCACTTTAAGGACATCTTGCCCCTGTTGGCTTACAGGTTCATTCTTGACGTATGTAGACCTAAAAATATAAACATTTGCAATTCTATGACAACTGCATACTCCCTCTGCACAGGACTGTAATGTGATGCTGCAGGATCAAAAGCCCCGAAGAGGGCTACTAAATGCACCATGTGGAGGGATTATGTTGTTTAATGTGGAAGGCGTGTCTATATTTGTAAATAGGGGTGTAGAAAGCATTCATTCATAGGCATAATTATATATTTTATGATATTGTTTTTTAAGGGACTATATTTTCATTATCATCTTTTCTATCCTGTCGTATTATTATTACCATTAATCATCGTACTTTTTCCACATTAGCCTAAAGCCGCTCCTCTCTGAGATTGGATGAGAAAATGCATCTTATTGGATGGCAGGGCAGGGCTGTGGTGTCAGGTGATGCAGAGGGAGCCACTATCTCTATTTTCTCTCTTTGTGGGGAAATCACTGGTCTCTCAACCCGGATGCGAAGCCACAGCTATCGATAATTTTGCAGCGCTGCAGAGCAAGGGGGCGGAAATATTTCAGTACCCTTGAAGCGGACAGCTCTCCCCGGATCCTCACGGTTTCAGACCGCCCGGGCTCCGCATCCGAGCCTGAAGTGCAGGCACTGCAGGGTCATAATTCATACCTAGGATAGGGGAAAGTGAAGCGGCCACGCTGAAGGGAAACACCTCCCTACGCTTGCAAGATCGTGACCACTTGCACGCCACCAGAGCCGTAGTGGAAGGGTGAGAAAGAGGGAGGAAGGAAGAGAAAGGGGGGAGAAGAGCATCACGATACGGATAGAGATGGCGGAGTGCGGGCGGAAGGCGCTGTCTCTCCTGGAAGCGGCCCGTTCCCGGTACGAGAGCCTGCAGATATCCGACGACGTGTTCGGCGAGTCCGGGGATGACAGCAGCGACAATCCCTTCTACAGCACCTCCGGAGACTCCGACTCCGACAACTACATGGGCGAGGAGGAGCAGCAGCAGCAGCAGCACCACCACCACCATCACAAACGGGGCGATAAGGAGGGCAGTGGACACCGCGGGGGATGTGGAGGTGGTGGCAGCGGGAGCAGCGGAGCCGGTCCCCCGGGCTCTCTGTCCCGTAGTCAGGCAGAGGAGGAGGGCTGGACGGAGACTCTGCAGGATGTCACGGTGCCGCCGTTCAAAGAGACATATGGTGAGAGGTGATGCAGCATGAATAAGGTCATTTGTGCAGGGTGTGTGTGTGTGTGTGTGTGTGTGTGTGTGTGTGTGTGTGTATATGGATGGATGGATGGATGGAGAGACTCAGAACTTGTGCAGATCACGTTCATGTTTTCTTAGGTCAGGCAGGACATTTCTGTGGCTCTTGGTCTGGTGCCAAAACAGCACACAAAAGGCCATTGCTTTACAACAACTGGATGCTTGTTTCGTTTTCGTTTGTGTGTGTGTGTGTGTGTGTGTGTGTGTGTGTGTGTGTGTGTGTGTG